AAATTACATGACTAACGCTGGCAAATAAATATTTATATCTATTTAAAACGTACCTAGCGACGAACCCGAGCGAAGCTGGGGTGAGCCGCTAGTGGATCGAATAAAAGTCGACACCGTTGTTTACTCTACCACTGAGTTTTACGCTTAAACCGTAATACAATATAATGACGTAAACTTCTCGTAATAAAACCTTTAGACGAACATACTATACTTTTATTACGTACAGCGACTCAGTCTCGCTTAGCTCGTGGTTCGTCCCTAGTTACCTTTTAACATTAGGTATAGATTTCTCAGAGATGAAATTTTTTTATGGTGTTCAGTGACAAACGAGCAGACAGACCACCTGATGGAAAGCAGTACGTGTCGCCCATAACACCTACGGTTCATGCACTTAGGTTTTATGTAACAAAAATGCAGAACCGTAGGTGCGTTGTCACTGTGAGGACTAAGATGATATGCCTCTTGCCTGTAATTGCGCTGGCTACCTTATCCTTCAAACCGGAACACAACAATGTAATCATTGGCGGAAGAAATGGATAAGGGGGTGGGACCCATCCAGCCGGACTCCTCAAGCTTGACAAAGTCCTACCACCGGTAAAAATATTTTCCCACTGTAAAAAGTACCCTATATGTTGACCCGGAAAATCAGCTATCATCTTACCACATTTTATCAAAATCTGTCCAGTGATATGCTCGTGATGCGATCACAGACAGGCAGAGAGATAGACAAAAATCTAAAGACTATACATTCGGCTTCTGTATCGATAATAATGACTATTTCAATAAGATTTTCCAAAAAATGTTTAATATTCATATTCGACTCATTTAGAATTATATCACGTATATTGATTATACTAATATACTTATAATAAGATACTTAATCTGATGATATTGTCCAATTTCTTAAAAACAATATATTATACCTACGTCAAACTAAATTATTTGGCTCCAACTCCGGATACCTGAATTAAAATTACGCGTCAAACGTGCCACCACCATCTTTAAAGTCGATTAAAAAGGGCGGGGTCAAACCACGCGTTTAAGAACTTGTCAATAAATCCCATTAACATTCCACACTCGCTTTTGAAAATTCACGTAAATTCAGAAGCTGTTGCGAAGCCATTATGTAAATGATACCCAAGTATGTGTTTTATTCATATATCCTGGCTTTTGCCTACAGAATTTATTGGTTATTACCCACCCTTGACTTTGCTCAAATATATCATATATCAGGATGAATAAATCCTTATTACAGAGGCTTCGTGTTTTTATTTGTTGTATCCGCATGGTGGATTTATGGTATTGGGAGGAAAATACAATTAAATTTGTCTCACTAACTACAAGCGCATATTATGCGCATGTAGTTTGTGAGACAACTATGCGCGTATTATGCGCTTGAAAGTTTACTGAGCAAAAATATGAAAGACTAGCGGCTTACCCTCACTTCGCTCGAGTGCGGCTGTAGGTACGTTTTTAATTTTTTGCGGTATCCTAATGCTGTTTCTAAAATAAAAAGAGTCTAAGTTACTCCTTAAAATACTCCTTATAACATCAGCTATCTGCCAGTGAAAGTCGCATTAAAATCAGTCCAGCCGTTCCGAAGATTTGCCGGAATAGACAGATTGACAGCCAAAATTTAAAAATTATGTTTTTCTTGCAAGTATTTCATATAATTTCATATGCGTTTAGTAAAAAGCTGTTATTTTGACATTACAAACATACACTTCAATTTTATTTATCTGTATAGATGAATGTCCACTTAATATTTGGCATATAAACTTTTTTAACGACCTTTTAATGCATGAAGGATGATTCGTGCTTTTTGTAAATTTGAAGGCCTTAGCTTTCAGAGATGTGATTGGAGGCGAGTAAGGGGGCGGTGTCGAGGAATAAACAAGAATATACGAAAATAGTCTTTTAAGGGTTACACAAACGTACCATAACAACATTAACAATGTGCAATGAAATCATACCACAATAAATAAGGATCGGACATACTCGTATATACTAATGATTTAACGAATATTCGCAATCACATTCGCGAATATTTGCATATTTTTGACATTCACATTCGCATTCGTATTCGCAAGAAATGATGCGAATATTTGGCAAATGTATTTGACAAACAAAACGGAAATTAAGGAAAGGATGGATATGGCATAATAGCATAACTGAAAAGATTTATATTTTTCTATTTAATTATAGTATTTGAAAAAAAAAATATTATGGAAAGGATTTGAGGTACGCAACTAAATTAGAAATATTTTTTCTTTAGTTCTTGTTAGTCTAATTAAAATATAAAAAAAATCACAACTAAACTAAAAAAAAGAATGTTCTTGCTCACATTTAAAAAAATAATGTCTAAATTAAATTTATTATTTTTTGTGAAAGGGAAAAATATTTTTGTACCAAAATTAAACTTCTCATATCTCAAATGTTATATTTGGCTACAATTATTATTTATAATATTTTTCCATTTTACGATATATTTTTTTAAGAATTAAAGATAAAAAATAAATAAATAAATATGTTGGGCCATTAACACACAGCACCATCTAGTTTCATGGTAAGCTACGAGGCTTGCGTTATGGATACCAGATAGAATATCAGAACTTTACGTTCTAATATTCATAATTTTTTCACTATATTTTTTTCTATTTATTAAAGATAATGAAATATATAAACATTCGCATTCGCATTTGCAAAGAAATTAATATTCGCATTAGCATTCGCATTCACGAACATTGGAGATAACATTTCGCATTTACATTCGCAATCGCAAATGTGAAAAATCGAACATTCGTACCATCACTAATACATACGAGTACATAGGTCTAATAAAAGTGATATGCGTTGTGTTCATCTTTATTCATGTTTCCAATAGTATGTTTTTATTTGAATAAAATTTAAAAGTTGCCCAAAAGAATTAGATTGCCAGGATTGATTGTAAATTAAAAATTGAATGGATTGCCCAAGAAATCGTCAGAAACTGAATCTGTGCTTATAGAATAATTTGCATAACCTCAAAGTCGAAAATACATTTACGAAGTCACAAAATAAATTTATTGAAATCTGGATAAGACAACGTCTTTTGGTCTAATCTATACAGATAAATAAAATTGAAGTGTCCATTTGTTATGTCAAAATAATATTTTTTCTTAATGTATATGAAAGTATTTACGGTACTTATAATCAAAGATACGATTTTTTTAAATTTTCTCTGTCTGTCTGTTTGTTTCGTCTAATCCACGAAACGACTGGACTGGTTCTGACTGAATTTTCACTGGCAGATAGTTGCTGTTATAAAAAGTAACTTTTATTTTAGGAAAAGAATTAGGGTTCTGCTGAAAAAAATTAAAACTAAGCCAGAGAGGTACTCAAACAAAGCTAAGTTGCTAGTCTAAAATAAAAGTATGCGAGATATTCAATATATGCCAAGTGCCAACCCTAAGAAACCAATACAATGTTAAGTAGGAAAGTCGGAGATAGTTTTCGAAATGTGAAATCTGGGTAGCCTTTGCATCCTTTATTTTCTTAAACTTTATGTTTTACTTTGATTATATATTTATAATAGCCACTCTACATACGTTTTAGCGTTAAATATTGATTTCTCCCTATATTAAAAAGTATCCTATGACATACCACATCAAAATCTGTCCAGTGGTTTTTTCGTGATGCGTTCCCACTTCTCAGACAGACAGACAAAAATTCTAAAAACTATAGATTCGACCTCTGTATCGATAATAATGAATATTTCAATAAGATTTTCCGAAAAATATTTAATGTACAGATTCGGCTTAGTTGTATTCAGCCCTTTTTCACGTCCCACTGCTGGGCACGGGCCTCCCTTCAGTACGAGGGGAATCAGGTCATAGTCCACCACGCTGGCCAAGTGCGGGTTGGCGGCTTAGTTAGAATTTCATTATATGTATAGATAGATTGTCGGATGGAATTTTAAAATAGATTTGAAAACCTTTATTAGTAAAGTATAGTGCTCTTTTCATTAAATCACTATTTATAATCTGTAAAAATACCGTGTAAAAATACTCACGGTATTCTTAGAATTGAGAAACAATTTTGCCGGGACTTTTTTGTGCAGATAGCGTAGATTTTCTATAATTTAATTACAGTACTATTTATATCAGGGAAAACTATATCATTTGCCAAGATTATGAATCCAAATTGATCATAAGAATTTAAAATAATTTTTGTGTTAGATAACTCTAGCTCGAATATATCGTCATTACACGGATTCGTGCTTGGTACTGGCTATATCTAATATCACGTCGCTTTAACAATATCAAGATTAATCTTTATGATTCATACAAACATTTACCTCACTCCAGAAATGAACGTGCGACCACGAGCACAATTAGGGTAACTGTACATACAAAATTACTCTCACACCATAAAGTCTATCATATTAACTTATTATTATTTTTCTCCAATATCACATAACTTTTCCCATTCTAGTTTAAAACAGGTTGAAATGAGTTTTCATTTTTGTTTTTGTTATTCTAACTTTGAAATGAATTCGAACTCGAAGGCAAGGGTGGGATGGAAGTGGGTTATTTACTTGTACTAGATTTCACTTATGCACAATACGGTGGAAGAAAATAATTTTGCTAATAGTGTATACAGTTCAAGTCTGTTGATCTTTTTCTCTGTTATTGCGGAAGAGATGATCAAAACAACGCATTTACTTAATAAAACTATTTTTATATGACTGACAAGGCACTGGCAAAATTTTTAGAAGCATAACATTTTTCAGGAGAATTAAAAAAAAGTAGGCTCAGTACGATTTTTGAAAATTCAATCCCCTAGATTTTAGAAGAAAGAGGGAATGAAAATTGTATGCCAGTTCATCATTTTTGAATAAACAAATATGGAAATTGATATTCAAAATAAATATATCAAAATACTCGTAAGGATTATGTGGGACTTTTGGTAAGTTTTGTGTAATCTGATTATATCTTATAGTATATACAGTGTCTACTCACCCCATCTGAACTTTGCTTTTTAACTTCGCAGAACTCTTTGAGCACATCCTGTAGTTTTCTGGTCGAATCTGAAATAAATTTGAGATATGAGAAAAATATTCTGTTGAAAAAAATTGTTACTAAGATTCAAACAATATTCCCTTTATATAAATTAACTTCCATTATCAATTTTATCAACAAAGAGCTAAAAGCATCTATACTAATTTACATAACAAATGTAATATATATAGCTGATGAGTTAGTAATTTGAGATTTAGGTTGAACACGTTAATCTCTGGATCTACTGGACCGATTTGAAAAAAACTTTTTGTGTTTTATAGCTGTGTTAGAGGAAGGTTATAGGCTCATATTACATCACACTATGCCCTAAAAGTGAAGTAATTCTACAGATTTAAATAAACAGGCGGAGCCGCGAGGAGATGCATTAGAGAAATAGATCGATGGAGATTACAGAACGTCTTGTTGTTGATGTTTTTGCATTTATAACTCAACTCATTCATAAATCATTAAACTAGTGTGTTCTGAAGAGATATTTTGCCAAAACAGTAGCTTAATTATTTTTTAACTAATAAGGTTCATCGATTTCGACGTCAAAACAAAATTTATGGTGTAATCAAAATTTATTTTAAAATATATCCGAAAATAAAATAAAATAATTATGTAATAGTATAAAAAATGATTTAAAAGACAACAAAATTGAAAGTGCATAATAATTACAAGACTTCCGCAACACCATTCAGACAAAGAGAGACAATAGCATTCCCAAGGAGGGTTGACGTCAGGCAGGCGTGGGGCAGCCGGTCGTAAAACTTTTGCCAAATCCCATCAGCAGTACAGAAGATGTACTGCGCCGACCCCAAGTGATTGGGAAATGGGCAGGGAGAAGAAGAAGAAGGTTCATCGATTTCTTAACCACATTACATGTTATAATTACGTAACCAAACAAAATTGAATCAGTAACTTCTTAAGCATCTACCTAGACTGTAGACCCACCAGCTGACATGTTCTTCATCAACGTTTATTTTAATTATGAATTATGAAATTCAAAATAATAGTAAAGTTTTCCACGTTTACAGTCACACAATACCCTCGGGGCGAAGATAATTTATTAGAGTGGGTCAAACCTTTCACTATAATAGTTAGGGTTGACGCAAAGTCGATTAATAAAACGATTCGTTTCCATTAGTTTCCACAAATAAATAAAACTCTGATTTGATCATTATTAGGGTGTATTTCTTCCCAATTATCTTTCGATCTTATCATCTATACAAATAAAAAAGATTCCGACGAAATAAGAACTCCTTCCTTTTTGGAAGTCGGTAAATAAAATTGTACGGTCTGTTTGTAATGTCAAAATAACAGCCTTTTACTAAATGCATATGAAATGCGGTACTTATAAGAAAAAATATTTTTAAAGTTTGTATGTCTATCTGTATGTTTGTTTGTTCTGGCTAATGTCCGAAACGGAAGAGAGGGTAAGTGATTAGTTTTTAAAAAGTTCTGCGATCTGCTGATTTATCACTGATCACCATAAAAAAACGTATGTGTGTGCTTATGGACGCACGTAAGAAGATAGACCTCTTTGGTGTAACAGAACAAAAATAGCTAAAGATTTCATCCCGTATGTCACAACTCATTGTTTGTAAAAGGAATGCAGCTAACTTCATCATGTCGCTTTTTGGCTGTCGGTGTGCGCTCGCATTGTAAATATCTCTTACTTTTTTTCCAAATGCGCCAAAAGAAGTATAACTTCAAAAAATAAAAGATAAAGCTAGCTTAATTATTTCATTAATCACAATAAATAGTAAAAGCAGCTTATAATTTTAGGGTAATTAGTTTATTAATAAAATTATAAGAGTATATTCTATAGAAGCTTCAACCCTCAGCAGAATAATTTATTTAAAGGGTAGCTCATATCGTAATTGCGATCCACGGGAGACCTATTTTAGTAAAACCGTTTCAAATTGTACTGGCTTTAAATATAGAAAATATTTCTGCCTATACATATATTCAGAAAATATAATTGGCCTTTGACGTGATTTACTTATTTTCAACCGACTTCCAAAAGGACGAGTGCTGTATGTTTTTTTTGTTATTTCTTGTAGGTATGTTAAGGGATATCTTCGACAAATGCTAGTCGATTATCATTATTCTTTTTTTTTTAAATAATATTTTTATGGCTCTTCATATATTCATATCTTAAAGTAATGTCGGCTGGCACCGACTTGAGAAAATATCTGATATGGTAGATACCTACCTTATATACCTATTGATTATAGTAAATGAAAATCCGTGGTAATTTTTTTTACTTATTAGTATCTAGAAAGCGATTTTTATATTTTTTTCATTCAGTTTTTAATTTTTAGTCTCTGGAAATTAGTTCTCCTCCTCCCGATAGATTTTTGCCACAGTAGGAAATATTATTGTGCGTGGAGACACTACGTGCTCTCCTTATTCCTGTCACTCGCATACTCCGGTGGGACGACTACTCGACACGACCAGTGAAGATTAAGGCACAGGAGCGACGGCATTCCCAACTCCAGGCTGTTACTGAGGCTTACTAAGCAGAAAGACTCAATAACTAAACTGGGCCCGACCCGGGACTCGAACCCAGAACCTCAGGATGTGCAGCCGTACATGCTAGTCACTACACCACCAAGGCAGTTATAAGATTTTAAATTACTTTCCCATTCGTTTGTTCTACTGTATCGATGACATCTATTCTATATCTGCACTCATGAGAGCACATCAGGAATACATAGACTTTTTGAAAGAAAGTTGATGTCATTATTTTAGATTATAAGAAGAAATCAGTATTTATAATATAATATTACAATTACTGATTTAGATGAAATTTGGTAAGAAGATAGTTTAAGACTTTGGAAAGGACATAGGATAGTTTTTTTACTGGAAATCATGCTTTAAGGGGGTGAAAATGGGGATAAACATTATCAAACTGATCACATCAATGTCTGAAATTCTTAACAGATGGACGCTTTTATGGGCAGAAAAACAAAAAAATCTAAATTTTTATTAGTTTAACAACTTTCAAAAAATTTACTCCATTCCTTTAACTTTATAACATCAGCTAAGTGGACTGTATACTCCCCTTTACATTGAGGAAAAGCTTATGCCAAGCAGTGGGTCTTTAAAAATGCCTGAATTAAATTAATTATTATTGTCTCTAACTAGGTAATTGAAACTGTTTGGGAGAAGCCTACTGTCAGAAGTGGATGGCGATAAGAAATATGTGATTATGATGATTATTAGATATGAGATAGGTGATAGATGGTAGACGATAGACGAAAGACGAAAGGCGAAAGAATAGACGATAGCTAATTATAAAAGACTAGCGACTCGGGCTCGTCCCTACTTACGTTTTAAAGTTTAGTATCAATTTCTCAGAGATGAGATATATTCCTGCAGTAAAATGTATCCTATGTATTGACCCAAATAACCAGCTATCATCGTACCAAATATTATCAAAAACCCTCCAGTGGTTTTTCCGTGATGCGGTAACAGACAGATAGACAAAAATTTTAAAAACTATAAATTCGGCCTCCGTATTGATAGTAACGTCTATTTCAATAAGATTTTCCAAAAAATATTTAATGTACAGATTCGACTTAGTTACAATTTTATTATATGTAGGTATAAATGATAGAGTGTCAACATATACATACACGACGTTAACTCCTGTAGTTGTTGAAATTCAGCGGGCGAAAGCTTGTCCCATTGGAACCCACTGCCCGCTGTGTTCGGCATGACCTGAAACAAAAGCAATTTATAAATACCTTCAAAGCATTTCTAAAAGTTGCTTTAAGTCAATCACTGTAGCCAGTGGAGTAACAAGTACTAACGTAATAATTGAGCTGTTTTTCAAGGGACTGACGAGACTGGTCGGGATTAGAATCCCGAACCTCGTATCTTGCAGGTGTATAAACTAGCGACTAGATCAACTAAAATTTGTTATTTCTATGTCTGGATATTTTTAGCCGATAAAGAAATATCATTTTAAAATTCAAAGCACATCAAACGATTCCTCAAAGTCAATCTATGTCTACAGTGATGTTTATTTAGATGGGCGACTGCTCAATAGCATAATAAATGAGCTAACTTTGGAAGGATATTAATGTAAGATGTTATTGATTGGTAATTGTCTTCAAATCTTTGTTAGAAACTATCAAAATTATCTGTTAAATATCGATTTAAACTGAGAACTGACTCACTTTAAAACAATTTTCTGCAAGAAATTTTATTATTATTGTTAAACTGGCTGAATCTTTTGCAATCTATACTAATATTATAAAGAGGTAGTTTGTGAGTTTGTGACGTTGTAGGGGGTAATCTCTGCTACTGAACCGATTTAGATGAAATTTGGTAAGAAGATAGTTTGAGACCTTGGAAAGGATATAGTATAGTTTTTATCCCGGAAATCATCCCTTCAGGGGTGAAAACGAGAATGAAAGTTTGTATTGGGAAGCAAGCTAGGGACGAACCCAAACGAAGCGAGGGTGAGTCATCAGTCTTTCAATAAATATAAATATATTCAAGTTCTTAGAGACAAAGTATTTTTATCGTAAGTAGGTACGTTATGTACCTATCACATCAACAGTTAAGGTTTAAATGTATACATGAACTATATTTTAATCAAGTAATATATTTTCTTAACATTTAACTGTTAGAAAAAAAACTTTTATGCTTTTTTACCCGACTGCGGCAAAGCCCAAAGGAAGGTTATGTGTTTGACCTGTATGTATGTACATACACGCCGCTATTCTAAAACATGTACACATAATATGTATGTCTCCGACTGCACAATACTATGTTCCTTGGTCAACTTCTCTTCTTTTTAGTTTTAGTTCGTTTTTTACGTAGTCAATTTTTTAAATTTGTAAATATTTTTTATACAGCATTAAATTAAAACCTGTAAATGTTAAAATATTGTTCTTGCTTAAATTGTAATTGTCATTATGATTAAAACATCCGAACGACAAAAAGTATGTGGAGATCTCAAATAATATATATTTTTCTAAGCGTATGAAAATTCCAACTGTGTTTTAAAATGCATTTATTTAGAGCGTGAAGCTCCAAGAATTCCAAATATAGGTTCGTCGATTCCTTTACACTTTTATGAGTTCAAAGGGGCGTAAATGTGACACGATCGAAGAGATCAAGGCTCGGTATCGACGATTTTACGAGCTATCCGAGGTAGGGGTAGGTAGGGGTGTAAATCTATCAAGGTCCCTATTCTGAGCTACTACTGAATTTCTTGACATAAAATAAAAAAATAACTTTGAAAAACTAACACCCGACTACAGAAAAATCACAGTCCTAAAGGATATTTTTGTCCAAAATTCTTAGTAATCATTAATATTGATTTATTATTTATCATCTAATAAATATATTATACTAGCAACATAGGGTATGTTACGCGTCACTCGGGTACGTCCCTCGGTACGTCTTACTTTTTTTGAGCGGAACCCTAATTTTATTTTATTTTAAACCCTCGGCTCCGCCCGCGTTCCGATGACCAACAACCAAATTCTTAGGTTTTACATATTGGTATACTCTTACATTGCAATTTTTGTATTTTTTCTCAAAAATGAAATATTTTCCCGCGGTAAAAAGTATCCTATATGTTGACCGGGATAACCAGCTATCACCATACCAAATTTCATCAAAATCTCTGTTGTTTTGTTTCTGTGATTGTTGTGAGTGGTTTTTCTGTGATGCGGTAACAGACAGACAGATAGATAAAAATTCTAAAAACTGTAGATTCGGACTCTGTATCGATAATAATGTTTATTTCAATAAGATTTTCCAAAAAATATTTAATGTACAGATTCGACTTAGTTACAATTTTATTATATGTATAGATAAAAGTACCTTTTTTTTTTTTTTTTTTTTTTTTTTTTTTTTTTTTTTTTTTTTTTTTTTTTTTTTTTTTTTTTTTGTCGGGAAATGCATTTACGCATGCCACCTGATAAACCCCCCCTCCCCCCCCAGGTGGTTATGTGGGGCTCACCGGCTAGAAGAGCCGGTACTACCCACTAAAACCCGACATTCCCCTCCCCTCCGCCTTAATGGGACGCCGCAGGATCGCTTGCGCATAACTACTACGGCGCCCCGGCGGCAGGTCTGCCAATGGCTGACCACCATACCGATGGGGCTGCTCCACAGTCAACTCTGCTACACCAGAGAGGTACCCGGAGCAGCCCCATCAAATCCAACCTCCGCCCACCGAAGTGGGCCACCTCCAATCGGCTGCAGAGGACAGGGAGAGCGGCAACGACACACCGACACTCCTCTTCCTCTGCAGCCCCACCGCGTCCACCATCTAACGGTGGTGGCCCCGCTAGGCCGCGGGAGATAGGGACGAGCGGCGCATCGCCATACCGACACTCCTCTTCCCCCGCGGCCCCCCTACCGTCGGCCCACCTCCGGACCAAGATGGCTGCCGACAACCACGCCAGACGCAGGACCACCGAAATGGCCCCGCTCCAGCCGCCGCACCGACGGGCTAGCCCCGGCAGCACGGCCCGCGCAGCGCCTCCTACCGCAAAACGGCCGGAGACACCGCGCTACCTCCAAGGAGGAGACGGCGCCCTCCTGACACCGCTCCCCCTGCCCCTCCTGGCTGTTGGTCCGCGCCGGATTGCTCCGGTACCACAAGCTCCTGTCTGGGGGAACAGTCGCGAGTGGCATTCCCCTATCCGCCACCCGGGGGACGCGCCCGGTAGCAGTCAGCCTCTGCCCCGGGATAGATAAAAGTACCTAGCTTAAGTTACTACTGCTAATGTTATAAAGAGTAACTTAAGCTACTTTTATTTAATAAAAAAAAATAGAATTAGGTTTATATGATCGGATTTTGAACGTTCAAAATGTTTAACAACTAACAGGAAACTATTCTAGCCGATTGCTTTAGGCTATTTTTATTGCAATAAAAATCTATTAATCCCTCCACGAACGCGGACACGCCAGCGTGTCAGTTTACGATAGATTCCTTAGAATTTTAATTGATTTCTTAGAAATTTACCTGGAGGTCTTGAGTGTCTCGAGTCATAATAATTTTGAAGCCTGGGTAAGTCACTAGTATATATATATATATATATATATATATATATATATATATATATATATATTATATGTAATTTTTAGAATGCCGATCATATATTACTTTTACAAATGTCCATCTATCATCGAATTTCATTCTTTGCTAATTCCTGGCTTTTGTGAGGGGAATCCCCATATTATGTTCTAAGAGTGTCAATACAAAGCCATTGATGGATGATTGTATCAAATTCTGACAATGACGTAATACTTAAGTGTGAAACAAACCAGCGGGACTTCTAAATACACATATCGTATGAAGCATTAAGCAATAAACAGGTTAAATCTCTTTCAAGATAATACTTTCTTAGATTTACGCTAATACTTAACATTTTAAATGTGTTTCGTTATTAAAATTTAATAAAAACAACATTATTTCCTTTCTTTTACTCGACTGTGGCGAGGCCCAAAGGAGGGTTATGTGTTTGAGCTGTATGTATGTATGTCCGATCCTATGTTCCCTCGAAATTACTAAACGGCTAAACCGATTGTGATGATTCATACGTTATTAGATTCGTCTTGATAACGCGAGTTTCATAGGGTAGATACATCACCGAAATAGACCACCGAGGCAGTTAAATACATACATTATTTTACAAATAACGACAAATTACCAGAGAGAAGTCACGAAACAAACTTGTGAGCTATAAATTCTAAAGCTGTTTGTATGGGATATTAAAGGATTTCATACGCTTCAATAAACTTGAGTTTTACTGGCTCTAACTTATCTCGATTTGTCTTATGCATTATGTAAGTAATCTATACATATAATAAAATTCTAACTCAGCCGAATCTGTAGGTACATAAAATATTTTTTGCAAAATCTTATTAAAATAGACATTATTATCGATACAGAGGCTAAATCTATAGTTTTTAGAATTTTTGTCTGTCTGTTACCGCATCACGGAAAACCCACTGGAGGAATTATGATGAAATTTTGTATCGTGCTAGCTGGTTATCCGGGTCAACATATAGGATACTTTTTAGCGCGGGAAAATATCTCATTTCTGAGAAAAAGTACAAAAACTGGTTAGAATATAACCACGATGATACTATAAACATTTTAGCAAGGTAACTTACTAAATATGGCAAAAACTATTAAAAATAGCTAAGCTTGAAAAAATATATTTATAGGGCTATTTTATTCATTAAAATATTTATTTTAATGAATATTTATTTATGTGTTATTTAGATATTCGTCAATAGATGTCACCATGTGTTTTTAAAATACGTAGTTTTGTTGTTAAAATTGAATGTACAGATATGACCTTTCTATGATTTTATTAGAATTACTACTAAATAACCTGCCGCCAGTCCGGATATTAGCCGGAACAAACAGACAGACAGAAGGACAAAAAATTAAAAAAATAATGTTTTTATTCTTAGTACCTACCCTTTATTTTGATTATACACACAGACACTTCATTTATTTATCTGTATAGATGTACTTTATATCTATCGTTTCTGCATTTTCGTGTAAATTAGTTAATTTATTCGATTCAAATGTAAAGCAAGCTTTATTTAATAAAGTATAATACTACACAAAAAGTTCGACTAAAAAACGAGGTGGAATTTTCATTATTATTAAGGCAATAGTAGCCTAGCGGTAACGCATTTGAGTCGGAAATCTAATGAAGCGGGTTCTAATCCCG